TCTTTAAAATAAAATAAAAGTAGCTGACTTGATAGGAAATTGTGTAATATGACTTTTTGTAAAATATCAGATACCTAATAAGATAAATATTTATCTTATTGAACAACGGGAGCTCGTCTGTTTCTGTTTGGCTGTGACTCCACCCTGGAGGGAAATATCAGTTGTGCTGCTGCCATCAACACCTTTGTTTATAGATGCTGGAGATCGGCCTGTTTTTCAGTGTGGTCCTTTTTCTCTGACTGTGACTGGCTGGATGTGCTCTCTTCATCCTCTGACATGGGAGCTGGCTCGGAGCTCGTCTGACCGGCTCTGTGTTTCCTGGAACGGGTCGCCTTTTACAGCTGCTTTTTCTATGTCTGCTTCTGTCTCCTTGAACCCCAGTCGGCCTCAGCAGATGGCCGCTCACACTGAGCCTGGTTCTGCTGGAGGTTTCTTCCTGTTAAAAGGGAGTTTTTCCTCTCCACTGTTGCTACAAGCATGCTTAGTGTGAGGGATTGCCTTTGCACTGGAAAAATGATCTAGAAACAAGTAAGTAAAAAGATGAATGAGGTGATTTGCCAATGGAATGAGTATTTTTACTCTTAAATAAAGATATTTAGATAAAATGCACTTGAAATAAGACAATGTAATTGTGTTTTATTGTAAAAGTCATTGTCTTTTTCCATTGGCAAAATGTCTCGTTTACCTTTTGAATTCAAGAACAAATGCACTTATTTTAAGAAAAAATACTTATCTAGATTTTGTTTTTTTCCAGTGTGAGTCAATGAGTCGATGCAATCAGCTGGTTTTCCTTAGATAGAAAACTAAATCAATCTGATTGGATGAGCTGGTGAATTGGAAAGTACCTGGAGATGACATGTGAATTGGCGCTATAGAAATAAACTGAATTGGGGAAACAAATGAATATACCTAAACTTGTTTGGACCCGATATCTCAGCCAACTTCAAAGTCATAATTCAAAGCTAAAATAAAGGTGACTTTATGCAACTGATTTTTTTTTCCACAGTCGTCATGTAAGTTTTTCTTTTTCTCAGTTTTAAAGGAATAGTACACCCAAAACATGATTAGCCTTCATTTTCTACTCACCCCCATGCTGAACAACACTCTGGAGTACTTTTTTGATATCTCAAATGCATCTGGAGATCTGGGAGGCTTCTTGCTGTCTGCTGACATTCAAATAATGGAGGTCTATGGCGCTCGAGGCAGAAAGGTCCATAAAAGTCCACAAAAAACGTGTCAATATTCCTCCATACTGCTCGTCCAATGTATTCCAAGTGTCCTGAGTGGGTAGCGTCCAGAATTTACTCGAAACGAAGTCATTTAGAATGTTTTTAGAGCATAAACAGTAGTGTATAGGATTTCCTAAAAGCGCGTTCACGACGCTACGGAAACCGCGGTAGACCAAACCAGATGAAAGTGCGCATTCAGCTCGGCAAAGAACTCATGCTCTTCCTCAACACTGAAGTCCTCAGACATTTTTCTTCCGTTGTTTCTTGCTTTGCACAGGTAAACAGCACATTTCTTCTTCTACGCTTGCATTATCGGTAGAGCAGACGCTGAATGCGCACTTTCATCTGGTTTGGTCTGCCGCGGTTTCCGTAGACTCGTGAACGCGCTTTCAGGAAATCCTATACACTACTGTTTATTCTCTAAAAACATTCTAAATGACTTCGTTTCGAGTGAATTCTGGACGCTACCCACTCAGGACACTTGGAATACATTGGACGAGCAGTATGGAGGAATATTGACACGTTTTTTTGTGGACTTTTATGGACCTTTCTGTCTCGGGCGCCATAGACCTCCATTATCTGAATGTCAGCAGACAGCAAGAAGCCTCCCAGATCTCCAGATGCATTTGAGATATCAAAAAAGTACTCCAGAGTGTTGTTCAGCATGGGGGTGAGTAGAAAATGAAGGCTAATCATGTTTTGGGTGTACTATTCCTTTAAGTGCAATAATGAAATTTCAGAACCTTTTGGATTCAAACTGCCTTCGTTTCTCCTCCATCCAAACCAAAGAATCTGCCTTTTTTTGTGTAAAATACCAGCCAAGAATCGACCTCATGAACCGCCATGTTCGCTTAGCAATTATTGGAATCAATATAGCAAACATTTTCCGGAATACTCACCATTTTCTCCCCAATTTGAAAACAGGAGTAGCATCAGAAACATGTCCGATTTATAAGCAGTGGATTTTCTCGCTAAAACGTTATTTAAAATATTTAAGTATAAAGAATCAAATGACTAAAGCTTTCAGAAAATATTAAGTATAAGACACATGAGAGTGAATACATTTTTATTCAAATTACAAGACAGGTAAACAAACTGGAAGTCAGCTGTGAGCTCCAGCCGCTGTGCAGAGCTGGTAATTGGCACAGACATAATGCCACAGATAATGAGGGACGCACCGATTGGTGGACAGATGGGATGACTCCGCCTAACTGTCATGGTCTGTAAAACGCTCAAACATTATAACATTTCGCTGACAAAGATCCTGTTTTACAGAAATTATCTTTTTTTTGTGTGTGTGTGTGTTTGGTCAGTTCTTAGAGACATCAGCCTAAAGGCAGCAATCGGTGCCTCTATACCGAGCGAATCAAGATTCAACGTAAACCCCTCAGTTAAGGAACTGCTTCATCCCGCTTCAGACACACAGAGGAGAACAAACACCGGTCTGAGAAAATAAAAACATAAAACAGTGTGTGCGTGACATTTTAAGATGAATAAATTAAAGAAAGTTAAAAATGTTTAAGGCAGAATGTTGCAGGATGGGCTCAGAGGCTGAGAATCTGAGGTGTTCACTTGCAGCTGGGAAATTATCACAAAGAGACCAGAGGTGCCCCACAGGTTTAACCTTCTGCTTCACAGTCAGCATCTCAAAAACGGGAAAGAAACCGAGTCGCGGCTTTGGTTCCGACCGATTCCTCCTGCTCTGGATCGTTCTCTGACTGGTGCTGATGAATACCCTCTGAAGCAGACGGAGGGGGCGAGGCTGCGGACCTTACAGGAAGTAAGGGGTGGTGGTCCGGGGAGGAATGACCCGCTCAGAGTCCGGCACGGCTCGGAACAGCTTGGGCTCCCTTCTGTTGACGTCCTTGAAGACCATGATGGAGGCGATGTTCCCGCAGCGGTAGCAGTAGTTGGGAGCGGACCACACCGTCACCAGCTTCTCGTCAAACATGAACTTGTAGCCCTCGTGCACCAGCTGGTGAGCGCGGCAGATCAGCTTCAGGTTGTTGATGTGAACGAACTGGTAGAGAGGAAACAAACCGGGTCACCCTGAGGGGTCCAGCAGCGGAAGGTTCTACGGGTCGGTTAACGGCGTTACCTCATTGGTGACCTTGGAGCCGAACAGCCAGCCGGCGCCGCGGGGACTGATGGCCCAGGTGTCCACGTCCTCCGGGTCGGACCAAACCAGGTCACAGAACGCTCCTTTGTGGGGAATCTCCTGGTTGCGTTCGATGGTTCGGATCTGGTCCAGAGTCTTGATGTCAGGCGAAAGGCCGCCGTGGACACAGAGGATCTGCTCATCTATCAACTGGAATTCATCAGAACAAATCTCAGCTTTAAGGGCTAAAAATGGCAGGAATTAAATGTCCAGCAGGAATCCAATCAGATCAGAGTTGGAGGATGTTTATTAAGAACATTCTAAAGCCACAAACAGCTGAACTGTTAGAACAATTAAAACGCTTCTTATTCATCATTGTTAGAAACCAGAGCAAACTTTCAGAACAGGAAACTGGAAGCAAAGAAACCAGAGCAAAGCAGCCAGAATTAGAGCCACTGGGGTCTTTTTTTCCCTCATGTTAATCCATTAACTTTCTGTTCTCCTAAATTCATTTTAACATCTTCGTATGGCATCTATTGTGCGTCGGTTAAGTTCTTAGTAGGGCTGCACCTTACGATTATTCTGCAAATCTGTCGGTTATTTTTTCAACTTAATCGGATGGGACCATGCCTTTCGG